GGGTAGGCCGTGAGTCACTGGTGGGTAACCGTTTGTCACTCATATCGGGTAGGGTACGGGTAGGGCACGGGTACCCGTACCCGGCCGGGTACGGGTACGGGTACCCGTGCCCTACCCGTACCCTACCCGATATGAGTGACAAACGGTTACCCAGGTACGGGTAAGGAATCAAAGCCCGTTTGCGACCTCTGCCATTGCCCCCCCCCCCCCCCGGGGACCTTTAATGGAGATTCTTATTCTTGAGCGTGATGGCGTGCAGCGATGTGTTAGGGAGCTGAAAGCCAATGTCGAGGTCTGCCAGGCAGCAGAGGGCTTCAAGGAGAGAGTTCGTGTAGGTGTGTTATTCGTCCTCATACGTTGCAGGAGTTTCAGACTACAGTGGTTCACTATATCGTCCATAGGTTGGGGTGCATGGCCACAATTGCACTGCGGCTTGCCTTCAATGCATCTCTGTGAGTCTCTGTGCATCTCTATGTGTCTCTGGGTCTAATCTTTGGCCCATTGGTTGGGACGCATGCCAACAATCGCACTGCTGTGGCTTTTCTTAAATTTCTCATTCATGAAGGCGATGCGCGCATCGAGTTGTTGAGTATCACTCAGTTGATGCCAATTTTTTAACGCAGAGAAACCTGACCGGGTTCCCAGACTTCTGTTTTGAGAGGGCGCCTTCTACATAAGGAGGGGTTTGTCCGTGAGTGCCCATCAACGATGGGAGTTTGACTTCGCGTGGCCGGGAACCCGGAGACAACCCCACCACGCACACGAATAGGGAACAACACTCAGCACTGCCATCTCCTGCCCACACCTCGCCAGCCCCGGCGCCTATACCACCTGGCAAGCCTTGTATGGGTGGTTTACCCATACAAGCGCTCGCCATCTCCGCTTACCTCCCAAGATCCGACGATGCGAGTGCGTTCGCGGTGATTAAATTGTGGGTACAGCGCATAACAAATTATGAATAATAGCATCGCAATTACGCACACGCTATTATCACGTCAGAATGTTGCGTTTCGGCGTGCGCAGGTACAGAATGGACAATGAACCACTGCAACATGGTAACGTACGGAGACTTGCAATTGCCCGGGGAATTCTATTATTTTTCCCTCCTTCTCAAGTCTCATGTAGGGTGTGTTATTTATAGCGAGCCGCTAAATTTGGCCGCGATCGTATAGGACGCACGCATGCCACGGGGCGCTATATAACGAGACGTTTGGATTGCGTGCAAGCCTGCTCCCACTTCCTCTCAGGGACGGAGCCCCGACTCCTTGACGCACGTTCTTGAGTCGTTTTTTGCCAAATAAAATATACCCGCGGCAAAACACGGCAGTCAATCAATGCGCTCTTATACAATCTGCGCGTCGGTGTGGGGTGGCGGTGGTGGGTGGGGTGCGAAGTCTAGTATCCTGCAGTTTACATTTTCTTCGATAATCAACGCAGAGTGGTAGAATTGCCGATCCTTAATTCGATCGAGTCATCCAAAGGGATTGTGGAGCGTCAAATGAAAGGCAGAACGCGTTGTTCTAATGCGCGCGTTGCCCGCGAGGAATTTTTTTCTCTGTCGCGAGGTTCACCAGCGGGGCATTGACGGACGCCGTGAAACACCCACGGCCTCACCACCAACATTTCAAGTCGATGAAACCGGTAACGTTACCCAAAAATAATACGAACAATAAAGCAAACACATTGCGGTGATGCACCGTGGGGGGGCACCAGGGAAATATTGGCCGAGGAGGTTAACCATTTTTTTTCCACCTTCTTTCTGAATTTTACAAACGTGAGAAAAGTCGCAAGACGTGAGACGATCGTGTATGGGAACGCTCGTGACTAAATCCCGCAGCCGTAAAAAACAAAAAACGACGTAAATACGTTGGCGGATCTACATATATTCTTTTGGTTTTCTCCCCAGCTTAATATCGACAAGGATAGACCTCCGTCGATCGAAAGTTGCTCAGGAGCTTTTGTAGCCAAGTCGGGGAGCATTAACGATGGCATGCGCGATTCGATAAGAGCGCTCGCTGATAAGAGGAGAGGGCAACGGGGAGCGACTGCAGATTTGGGCAAGAGCTGCCACGGAGATAAAATAAAATACGACCGCTTGCTCGGTCTCTCGCTCACAGCCAGCATCTCTCCCCTCGCTTCAGTGCACGCGACTGTGTGTGTGTCTCTCTCTCTCTGTCTGTGTCTCTCTCTCTCTCACAGCGCCAATTGCAAGTCACTATCACGGTGAGAACCAGCCAGCCAGCCCCCCCACCCCTCACCCAACACTTTCAGACGTTCCCGTTCAGACTCACCTGTCGCCCCCCTAGTTCCTTTATCAAAACTCATCGCAGCATAATATACAACAAATGCATTCAAAGCAACCCGCAGTACGCTACCAGCTTTTTTTCTTTCTTCTAAAGTTGTGTCTTGCGGCAATAGATTGATTTAAATTACAATATCGCAGGTGGAATGCTTTGATAAAAAGTTTCAAATTTCAATAGTAGAATTGAAATAGCACATTGCTCGTGTTAAAGAATACCAATCATTGATAAAACCTCACACTACAGCGCAGTTAGTCGCGATGACCCATCCCTTGCATATGTCAAGGCATGTGGCTTTAAGTAAACCCGAATAAAGTTGAGGGTCGTGCCTTAAACATTACTCGCATCGCACTCATCAAGCCGCACTGGCCAGCATGGTGAAGTGTGACCAGCATGGTGAAGTGTGGCCAGCGTGGTGAAGTGTGACCAGCGTGGTGAAGTATGACCAGCGTGGTGAAGAGTGACCAGCGTGGTGAAGTGTGGCCAGCGTGGTGAAGTGTGACCAGCATGGTGAAGTGTGGGCAGCGTGGTGAAGTATGACCAGCATGGTGAAGTGTGGCCAGCGTGGTGAAGTGTGACCAGCATGGTGAACTGTGACCAGCGTGGTGAAGTGTGACCAGCATGGTGAAGTGTGACCAGCATGGTGAAGTGTGACCAGCATGGTGAAGTGTGACCAGCGTGGTGAAGTGTGACCAGCGTGGTAAAGTGTGACCAGCATGGTGAAGTGTGACCAGCGTGGTGAAGTGTGACCAGCGTGGTTAAGTGTGACCAGCGTGGTGAAGTATGACCAGCGTGGTGAAGTGTGACCAGCGTGGTGAAGTGTGACCAGCATGGTGAAGTGTGACCAGCATGGTGAAGTGTGACCAGCGTGGTGAAGTGTGACCAGCATGGTGAAGTATGACCAGCATGGTGAAGTATGACCAGCATGGTGAAGTATGACCAGCGTGGTGAAGTGTGACCAGCGTGGTGAAGTGTGACCAGCGTGGTGAAGTGTGACCAGCGGGGTGAAGTATGAAAATTGTGGTGAAGTGTGACCAGCGTTGTGAAGTGTGGCCAGCATGGTGAAGTGTGACCAGCGTGGTGAAGTGTGACCAGCGTGGTGAAGTGTGACCAGCGTGGTAAAGTGTGACCAGCATGGTGAAGTGTGGGCAGCATGGTGAAGTGTGACCAGCATGGTGAAGTGTGACCAGCGTGGTGAAGTGTGACCAGCGTGGTGAAGTGTGGCCAGCGTGGTGAAGTGTGACCAGCGTGGTGAAGTGTGGCCAGCATGGTGAAGTGTGACCAGAGTGGTGAAGTGTGACCAGCGTGGTGAAGTGTGACCAGCGTGGTGAAGTATGACCAGCATGGTGAAGTGTGGCCAGCATGGTGAAGTGTGACCAGCATGGTGAAGTGTGACCAGCGTGGTGAAGTGTGACAAGCGTGGTGAAGTGTGACCAGCGTGGTGAAGTGTGGCCAGCATGGTGAAGTGTGACCAGCGTGGTGAAGTATGACCAGCATGGTGAAGTGTGACCAGCGTGGTGAAGTGTGACCAGCATGGTGAAGTGTGACCAGCGTGATGAAGTGTGACCAGCATGGTGAAGTGTGACCAGCGTGGTGAAGCATGACCAGCATGGTGAAGTGTGACCAGCGTGGTGAAGTGTGACCAGCATGGTGAAGTGTGGCCAGCGTGGTGAAGTTTGACCCGCGTGGTGAAGTATGACCAGCATGGTGAAGTTTGACCAGCATGGTGAAGTATGACCAGCGTGGTGAAGTATGACCAGCATGGTGAAGTGTGGCCAGCATGGTGAAGTGTGACCAGCGTGGTGAAGTATGACCAGCATGGTGAAGTGTGACCAGCGTGGTGAAGTGTGACCAGCGTGGTGAAGTGTGACCAGCATGGTGAAGTGTGACCAGCGTGGTGAAGTGTGACCAGCGTGGTGAAGTATGACCAGCGTGGTGAAGTATGACCAGCGTGGTGAAGTATGACCAGCGTGGTGAAGTGTGACCAGCATGGTAAAGTGTGACCAGCATGGTGAAGTGTGACCAGCGTGGTGAAGTATGACCAGCGTGGTGAAGTGTGACCAGCATGGTGAAGTATGACCAGCATGGTGAAGTGTGACCAGCGTGGTGAAGTATGACCAGCGTGGTGAAGTGTGACCAGCGTGGTGAAGTATGGGCAACACAACCCTTCACTGCCTGCGCGGCGTGTGGGAGACCTCATCCAGCAGTAGAGTGTGCATGTCCACGCACCTCTCAGTAAACAACGCTGCTAATCGCCCTCTGCAAGCGGCGTTCACGACGGACGAACCCTCGTCGCCTTAACTCCTCGAGGAAGCAAACAGCAGCGCGCCCGGTTGAATTGCGGCGATATTATGAGCCCGGGTTGCAATAAAGCGATCCCAGGGTGGCATTGTCGCGTCATGACACGCCGTGATTGAATAGCACGCGTGGATCTTGTAAGGCATTTCACCGGGGCCACGGATAACAACCCTACGAGCGCATAATGCGTTTCTTGTTTCAGTCGTTTGCGAATATTTACCTTGGTTTAGCCAACCGCGGTCCTAACAATTGCCAATGAAAACCGATTTTTTTAAAAATATATAATAACAATAACACCTCAAAACACCAATATGATTATTTCTCCGGAGAGAAGCGTGGAAGGTGGAGAGAGAGAGAGAGAGAAGAGAGACAGAAAAAAAAACTACTCAGAGCAGCACCAACCTTCTCCTCTGTCGACGAAGCTGGTGATAGTGTTCGCACTGATGTCCTTGCCTGCCGAGGCGACCGACAGTGTTTTGTACAGGGACAGCATGTACTCGTGCGGAACCACCGACACATTGTGACCACTCCAGCGGAACTCGTGGTCATGATGAGCTCCAGCTCCTGCCGTTCCTCCGGCGCGCTGCTGCTGCTGCTGTTGCTGCTGCTGCTGCTGGCTGTGATGGTGGTGTTGATGATGATGGTGATGATGATGAGCCGTTCCCACGGACACTTTGCGAGCACCCGGCGAAGACCTGGACGCCGACTCAGCAGCGCCTTTCGCCTGCGAGGAGGCCAAGCGGTGGCGGGAGCTGAGCGCCGCCGCCTCCACGCGAACCAGGTCCGGCTCCAAGAGGCAGGCGACGTAGCAGAGGAGAACGGCAGCGGCCTTGAGTACATCCATAACGAAACTGCGGACTCCGTCGGCGGCGCAGACTTCAAGAATCCGAGCGCATCGTTGAGTTCGAGCGACGCTGTTTGATCGCGTTTGCCGCGGCTGTCGGCGAGAAAGATTGGTCGGGGGTTTGAGTTTCACGCAGCCAGGTAGAGCTATAATTAGTGAAATGCTCGTCCATGCGCAATGGACTACCACTTCGCATATATCAAAACCACCACCACCCCCCTCCTCCTCCTCCTCTGCCTTTGTTTTGATTTATGGAACGCTTCCTCGCGGTAGATTTACCACTACAGAACACCGTTCACGCTTCTCCACAAATCGAGTTGACACGGCAATCCGCATCTGAGCTCTCGGTTACGAGACGCCGCTGTACAAATGCTGTCGATGATATATATAGAGAGAGCGAGCGAGAGTGAGAGACGATGATGATGGTGGTGGTGATGGAAGCCGCCGGGAAGTTCCGGATTTGAATGCTGCAGGTTGGGAGTGACTAACACTGCTCCGAACGCCCCTGGCACCCAACACTAACTCCTCTCCTGCGCTGCTGCTGCTACATGTGCCGCTACGGAGCGCAATATAAGGCGTCGTCTTTTACCAAAACGGCTTGCGTCACCGCCGCCGAACGCACGCTGTTCGCGCAATGGGCTCGTTGCGTGGACCATATACCTACTGGGATCAGCGCGCGACGGATGTATGCGACCGATTTTCAGAGTTGCGGATTAAAAATGTAAAACAAATAGACTTACGGGGAATTAGAAACAAACACCGCCTCCCCCCCCCACCCCTCTCTCAAAAAAAAGCAAAGGAACTTTGAGAGCGGTACGCGCGTGTGTGTTGTGTGTTTTTTTTAAGTGTCCCACGTAATAGTTGTACACTTTTGTCGTGCCACCTACGGTCATCAACGTGAATTGGGACGAATCCCGCGTCGACAAATGGGCCCAGATAACGAATGCGGTTTTTTTTGTTGCAGTTGAAATGTGTTGATGGCTGTTCGCGATATTGTCACAATCAAACGTCGTTCGCGCTCCTGTGATGATGATGATGAATGGGATGAGCCACGAAGCACTTTATCTGCACGCTATATACACATCCCGCAAGGATGTTTATAACTGGAATAACTTCCAAGCTTTGTGAAAGACAAGGGGGGGGGGGGGGGGATGTACAGTAGACGTATGGACAGATATTACAGCAATGGCAAGGTGATGGGCCTACAAACGACGAACTTTTGGACCATCGTACATTGTAAGACATCGACAGGAAATACACGAGTTGGATTATGGTGATATCCATAAGACGTTCAATTAAATAATTGATAATTACCACACGGTTACGACAAAGAGTCTAACATGTCTCTAGTTAGCCTCATCTCGGCTACGTTATGCAAATGTTAAGTGGTATGAATGCGGTTAAAGATTCAGTTATGCACGATAACGCAAAGAATGAATGGGTAGTTATATATAAACCTGTATAAGGTTACTGCAGTAAGGCTACCTACACAGTTGACTCATTGTAATATTCCTACTTCCTAGGAGGTGTAATTGGTCTATATACATTATACAGTTTATGCAAACATCGTGACCTCATAGGAAAATGCGAGCTCAAAACAAGAGGCTATTTAGAGTCTGCTTCGGGATCCTTTATTGCAAAGCTTGTTCTAATTTCTCAAAGTAATACTTGGGCGTCAACATGACGTGTTTCCTTGCGTCAAGGCTCTCGGAAGCCCAAGGAATTCCCTGGGATTTGATTCCAAGAACCGCGCTCCACGGAGCCTCGCGTGAGCAATAGCAAATAAGCCACCGCCACCTCCTGAAGTCTTCATTTTGCAGACGTGGAACCAGTGGTAGTGGTGATGATGATGATGACAATGATAACGATCATGATGATGAGGATGGCGGTGGTTGAGTTTATGGTACGGCCAATTGTGAACACAGCAACCAAATAGGTTGCTAACGCTGTGTCGAAGATAATATAATTACATTAGAGACATTAGTGCCAGTGTTGTGCCCACCTTTACGGTTAGCAACAGACAATGGGTCCAATTATTTTACACACTCGGCTCTATACCTTTAACTGGCACTTGACATTGATGTGAATTCATCTGAGGTTGTTTTTTTTTATTTTTCCGATGGGGGGGGTGGGTGGGTTGGATTTTATCACGGATCATCGGGTTTCTTTCCTTACGGTTGATAATCCATCCGCTTACGCGATTATTACTCGGCCACGTACATTCCTCAGCTCGTGTGTTCTGCCGTTAACGAAAACTACTGCCAACACAAACAAAAACAAGCAAATGCCAGGAACTCTTTGCGCGTTCTATAGTTTATTTGACCAACGCTGACATTTACGTTGGTAGGAAAAGGGAACGGATGGTGGGTTTTTTTTTGTTCCTCGTTCGTTTAAAATGTATCCCCGCTTCTGCAAGACAGGATCGAGAAAGCGAAAAGCGAACTCGAGCGTGGCCGAGGAGAAAAACGCCGACTCCATAAACGAGTCGCGCTGTATGCAAAGTAAAAAAAAAACGTCAATCACGTCCCGTGATTAATGACCCTACCATCGATTAACGTGCGTGAACAATGCATTCCTTTGCGTAATCATAAAAACGAGAGGATACCTAGCGCGTTTATAGGTTCAAGAAATAATTGGCTACAGCCATGGCGGGCGGTGACCCGATCGTCGATGCTATGCGGTAGGCGGTGGTTCCGCTTCATATAAAACACAGCGTTGTGTGCGAGTTGGCCAGAGGTCAACCTGAAGTAAAAAAAATTGACCGCAGCATGAATGCATGAGAAATGCTACCGTATTGTACAGATTTTATGTTATATAATACGCAGCCTTTTTCTAACTCCCCCCCCCCCCCACATCATTCGCGTTTGCTGTAACGAGCATAGGTGAACGGCTGACATCTACTGGATTAATAAGGAACATGCAATTACAAGCCCCTAGAAGTTGGAAGAGATTCGTGTATCCAGATCAAAGTTTCTGAGTTTTTATATTCTGCACGGAGGCACGCGTCTGCCTCCAAAAGCATAGAATTATAACCTACGAATGTGTGTATGTTTAACGTACTTCACACCTTAATCAGCCGAAGGACAGATCTAATTACCACGTTCATTTTAGTTTAGTATATATATGCAGCGGTATAGGAACTCGATCAGCCTTGCTGGATGGATGTATAAGCCGCGGTTGCGGATTTAGAAGTTACTGTATGTGTATGCAATTGAACAACATACACGATAAACTCGGTGGTGACCTGAGTTCAATTCCCGGCCACGGCTTAACATGGGTGGCGAGCGATAACTGAAGCAGTCCTGCATTGGAGCAGCCCCCCCCCACCTCCCTCCACTATTTCACAAATCTGCATTGACCAGTGTGGTACAGCGTGGTGAAGTATGGTCAAACAAATCGTCGCGGTCATCGCCCCACGCTGATCGTCTTCACCCAGCAATGGATCGTTGCAATTTTCACCACACTTCACCAATTTTCACCACACTTCACCAATTTTCACCACACTTCAATTTTCACCACACTTCAATTTTCACCACACTTCACCAATTTTCACCACACTTCAATTTTCACCACACTTCAATTTTCACCAAACTTCACCAATTTTCGCCACACTTCACCAATGTTCACCACACTTCACCAATTTTCACCACACTTCACCAATTTTCACCACACTTCACCAATTTTCACCACACTTCACCAATTTTCACCGCACTTCACCAATTTTCACCACACTTTACCAATGTTTCACCACACTTCACCAATTTTCACCACACTTCACCAATTTTCACCATACGTCACCACCTCTGTTCAAGTGCAGGTCGACGAAGCAGCGGACCCGAGCGCTGACTTCGACATCACTCAACGGCTGGGTGAACGTAGACGTGTGAGCATATAAGTACAGTACAACGATATATTTGCAGCACCCTCCTGCGTTTGTTCGCCACGAAATGACAACGTCGCCCCCGCGGCCTATGCCACCTGTTATGCGTGGTGATCGCCCATCCTAGGCGCTATCGAGACTCGAAAGGCCACTTAGCCGCGCTGTGACTACATCACACGGAATTGCGCCCCACTCGTCACGTGCGTTAGTCAGAGCAACGAAAAAAAACACGCGTAATCTTTAAACGTAATATCGTTAACGAGACGGGCATTGCCTTTGACTTGACGAAGACAAAAAACCGAGTTCCTAAAGCCATAGAGGACAGGGTTACTTATCATTTATTCAGCAACGGATCACTAATTACTCGGCGAGAGGCGAGACGAAAAATGCTCCATACAACCCGCACTGACCAGCGTGGTGAAGTATGCTCAAACACCCGCTCCACCCTAAGGCCACCCGCGTGACAAACGCATCTCATCTAATTGAATATTGATAGAGCGCGCCTCCACTCAGAGCGCTTGACACCGTTTCAATGTCCTCCCTTCACCAACCCGCACTGACCAGCGTGGTGAAGTATGCTCAAACAACCCTTCCCACAGAAAAGACACCCAATCCGTAACGCACGCACCTCCAATCGCGGCAGTCAATGTCCCATCTCTAACAGAGTCCCATAACAATCGTACTCGGCACCGAGCAAGGGAAAGTTTGGCCGAAGACAGAAATGATTTGAGACAGGATTCGCTTTTACGAGCCGCGTTTATTATCCACCCCACCACCCCCCAACGTCGCAGCTGCAGTTGCCAGCTGCCTTTGCCCGTTGGATAGGCGCGGGCGTGCGTGGCGTGGAGGCAAACAACCGAACCACCGATAGAGGATCAATATTACACGCGGATACCACCAATGCAAACACCGCCCGGGCCACACGGACGGGCAAACATCGTGCGTGCGTGCGCGCGCGCGTGCGCTGTGGGTACGTGCGGCCAATGCCCCCACCCACCCCACCCAACCTCGTCTCAACTCGATGAGAAACGCCGCGTTCATTTGACGCTCGTGTCGACAGCTCCGAGAATCTCGGCACTTTTGTGCAGGGGTGAACGATTTGGGGGAAATATTCTCATTGCGATTTTTCCGCGAGATATTGCGATTAAATTTTGTTTTTTTTAAGTCAAGCTTCAGTTCAATATTCACCGTGTAATAGATTTAAAACATGTGATGGAGCATTGCCACATGATGCCATCAAAATATGAACTGCTATATGCATTCTAAGAAAGTAATAGGACTTTTCAAATCGCAGCCTTTTCGATTTTGCTGATCGCATTGTTTCAAATTGCGATTTCGATTTGAAATCGATTAATTATTGACTTAAAATTGATTAATCGTTCAGCCCGAGTGCCGTACGCGCGCTTTGCTGTTTCTCGTCGGGGAGTGCAGTGGTTTAGCGAACTGGGCCACCCGGGTTCGATTCCCGTTCGCGGCCATCAACACCAGCGACGATTATTTGAATCGGTTCTGGGCCTCCTCTAGGTCCACTCGGTCTCACATTAGTAACCTGGTGTGTAAACGTTGCCACTGGGGAGACAAAGGCGGTTGGGCGTGGTTCTGGCTACGCACCCCCTAGTATAACAGCATTTTCCCCAAAGGTCTGTTAAGGCTATAAGGAGGTCGTTGTCTTTGTTGTCTCTGTGCATGTGTGTTTGTGTTTTGTATTTATGAATGTATTGTATCGGGGGGGTGGTAAAAACAACCCCTATACTATCAGCCTACTAAAAGCACACAAACTCGCACTTG